ATATATATATATATATATATATATATATATATAAAAATATGACAAATATATAAAATTAAAATGACAAAAAAAATAAAAAAAACAGACCTTTATAATGATTTTCATTATTATTATTCTTTTTTTTATTTTTACACTTTTGATTTCATTTTTTTGATTTGGTGTGAAATTAGATGTAACGTATATGCGAGATTTGCCCAATTATAAGAGAGATGCGGTCTCCTCACCTGAGATTTGGGCAGCAGGAGGGGTTTGTTGGCTTCATTGCCAAAGAACGGAGAGTGATAGAGCTGCAGGAAGACGAAGCTGCCGACAGAAAGAGGAGCAAAGGTCAGACTGTACCTCCACGCAAACACAAGTGCACACCGCACAGCTTTCATCTGCCTACACGCAACTCACCTCATCACACAGGAAAATATCACAGCTAAAGGTGAAGTTTGGAGAGGATAAGTGCTCGATCGGGAGAAGTGTCCCGAAATGCTCTCCAGACCTCATGAGACCCATTAAATCTGGCCCAGCACAACTGTGCAAATGAGGATACAACTCCAGACTTAACAGAAATCTTGCCTTGACAATATCAACGGAAAACATGTGCTGCACAGCACTGCTAACAATATGAGCAGACATATTTAGGATGGATACAGTAAAGTAACCAGAAGTGCTGAAAGCATCTCAATAATGATGCCAGACAGATTTACATTTCATATTTATGATCAGCCACATATGGAATCGGTTTCTGTTTATATATACTAATATATATATAAACACACACAAAGTTATAAAACATATTGTTAGCCATATTTATTTTCTGCTACTTTTTTGTCTTACTTTTGTCTCTTTTTATGCAAACAAACATACTTTTTGTAAGCAAAACTAATTATTACTAGTTATTATTACTAATTATTACATCTGTTTAAAAAAAACTTTCTATATATTAATTATATAGATAAAGAGAGAGAGAATTGATATATAGATAATGTTCACATAAAATATTTACATAAAACATTTTATATCATTTAAAATAAAATAGAATATAGAATATATTATAGAACTATATAATTATTTTATTAGCATATACAGAGAGAAAAAGAGTATTAAACATTACTTGTTCTCATGCAACCATTATGCAACTTTTTTTTTTGTATTACGGTAATGGTAGACAATTAAATTTTTTGTTTTCCATTTTACACACACACATATATATATATACACGTATATATGTATGTGTGTATATACGCACACACACACACACACATATATATATGCATTTAACCTAGCTACAGTAAAGGGGAACACAATGAATAAGTGTTCAATTTCTGTTAAATAATGAAACACTTTTATGACAGTTTTACTGTGCTTTTTGACAGCTCCTGTCCACATCTGCCTTTGCTGCTTGGAAAACTATGTTCCACTAAAGAAACTACTCCTTTTATGCCTCTATTCATACAGCACGTGTTTTTGAGTGATGGGGCCCTCAATCATTATTAGGAAGTAATTGTGGCTTTATCAAAACAGACATGCTTTATATCGAACAGCAATCTAAACACAACTGCAAAAAAGCATTGTGAACCGTTTCGAGAAACAGAAAGACAACAGCTCTTAGTGTCTGACTGCACCCCATGAAACGAGACACATACGGCCCGTGATGGAGGAGAAAACACTTTCGGGAAACTCACTAGGTTTTCCTGTGCTTCTGTCTATAAACAGCGAGTCTATCGATCGTGTGACTCCAGCAGCACTGAACCTCACAAAGACGGATGGCAGTAATTTACACGTAATTCCAATGCAAGGCCACAATTTGAAAGCGCTTAACTCAGAAAGAGCCTCACTTCACAAAATGAGTCGAGCGAGCGAAGGAGGCAGGATGATGTCATGTCAACAGGGGCGACAGATGATGACAGCAATGAAAAAAATGAGGCGTTACAGCAATATCATTACTCTCCATATAATGCCTTGCTTTTCCTAGAAAATGGAGCGCTCGGTGCAGTGGGATCAAATACATTACAGGTGCGTTAACAATCACAGCCACACTTTCCGCCATCCATTACACAACTGAGTCAGCGCTCGCCGTCACGGATTATAGGGCTAAGCCATAAAACGATATCATATTGAGTCACGATAAGATTTATGCCGATAAGCTCTGGACATTTTTACTCAATATGGATAAATCTAAAAGCAGAAATAAATGTGGCAGCACAGCCAGTCAGTGCTTGTTGCTAATAGGCTAACTATTATAAGGTTTTTATCATTTAATTTGAGAAAAACTACCATCAAAAACACACTCAAACTGAAAGTAAACCTGAAAGACCTTCACGACAACCCATCAAAATAAGAGTCTAGTTTAACTTGAAGAAATTATGACAGAAATATATTACTATTGTATTCTAAAATGTAATATTCAAGTAATAATAATATTTTTGAAGAATATCATACAACATTTTCATTCATCTATTCAGTTATACAATGCTATTGCGCAGGCTCTTGAAAAAAAAAATGCAATGTTTTGTTGTAATTATGTTTTCATTTCATTACATTTTGAAAGACGTTAACGTTTTATTCATTCATTTAATTAGACACCTTTTTATGTAAAATTTTTACTGAAACATAAAACACAGAATCCAAGAAAAAACATCACATGGAAAACAGAATTTAGGGGAAAATTAAACCCTAAATTAAAAAGGTTTAACTGTGAACCAATTATCTTTACATTCATTCTCAAGGTTTAACAAACATGTGGAAAGTATTTCCTTTCCCATTATTGGTAAATTAAAATCGTGATATTGTATGATATGGAAAAAAATATTGTGTTCATATATTTGGCCATGTCGCTCAGCCTTAATAGACTGTTGATAGTTGTAGATTTGATAAGAACTGATACACCATTGCACAGGAGGCTTTTCCCTTGCGTTATTTTATACGAACTGTCCCATCGTGCACATCTTAATGAACAACATCTGCTAAAAGTAAGATGCAATCAAAAGACATGTTTCCAAAAGACCTTGATGCAATGATAAAATCTTTAGGGACTTTACAACGTGTGAGTAATAAATAATAAATCTTGGTTAGGAATGTTGTTCTCATATTATGTTTATGGTGTTATTATTGAGGCTTATCTAGTATCAAATATGCTGATTTGCTGCTCAAGAAACATTTATGATTATTATCAGTGTTAAAAACAGTTGTGCTGCTTCACATTTTTGTGGAAACCCTGATAAGTTTTTTTCAGGATTCTTTGATAAAAGAAATGTTTAAAAGAACAGTATTTATTTGAAATACAAATATTTTGTAAATGCCTTTACGGTCACTTTTGATCAATTTAATCCATCCTTGCTGAACAAAAAAAAAATAATAATAATCTTACTGACTTAACTATTGAAAAGTACTGTATTTATAACTGATAAGGTGTTGATATCATCATGAAGTCCTAACTTTTATAATACATTTAACATGCTTTTGAATCCTTTTTGAAGCTTGAAAACTTTAGTTTGCGTTCAGTGTAATTGCATGAAAAACAAACTTTCTAATGCGTATAAAAAAGGTGGAATACGAGTTTGTACTTCAAGTTACCTGGGACTGAGTCCTGAGCTCTTCTCTATGTTGGATGGTCCTCCTCGGTTGTGGTACGAGTCTCGGTCCATCTTCCTTTCCCTGCGGGACGAGGGTGCGGACACTGAGATGGTGTGTCCGCGGGGTCTGTGTCCGGCGGGAGACAGGGGTCCCGGCTGAGCCGTGGGAAACTCCAGCCTCATCCTGGAGGTGGAGGACGAGGAGACGGAGACGCTAGCACTGGAGCTGGACGGGCCGACTGATATAACGCTCTCTCCCGGCCAGGCGCTTTCACCCGAGGCCTCTCTCTCGTTGGCCTGGACCGTCGGGATCCTGGCGCTCAGCAGGTCTCCGCCGGAGGCACTCTGGGCCGCAGCCTTGGTGAAGGCCTCGGGGAGAGTCTGCAGCTCCGGGGACGAGCTCGATTTGCTCAGGGTGGTGGCCTGAGATAATGACACGTCAGTCTCTTGATGTCCCGGGGTGGAGAGCGCCGGCGGAGGCTGATCGATGGGGATACCGCCCTCACTCACCTCCTCCAGAGTCGACTTCTCATCGTCCTGACTGGAGGTTGAGGAGGACTTGAGGAGAGAAGAGACCAAATAAATGACATTGCCAATAAAATAAATATACTGGCTGATTGATTGGCCTGGCTGATATATTAGTCGATCACTACCAGTATTGAGAAGTATATCAGGTAATAATAATAATAGATTATTATTATTATTATTATTGTTGTTGTTGTTGGTTGTTGTTGTTGTTGTTATTATTTCCAAGTGTATATATTATTTACATTTATTTATTTTTGTTA